GATAATGACTTGAGCTGAATGAAGTTGGATGCTTAACCAACTAAGCCACCCAGGTGCCCCAGCATTTTTGTTTTGTTTTGTTTTGTTTTGTCAAAATCTAGTTACTCCCATATGGGAGACTGTGTTATAGATGACTCATCTCTTAGAGTTGTTACAAGAGAGGAGGGTTAAGAACTATTGTTTGAAACAGGGGTGCCTGGGTGGCTCAGTTGCTTAAGCGTCTGACTTCTGCTCAGGTTATGATCTCATGGTTTGTGAGTCAAGCCCTGCAGATCAAGACCCTGAGGTCTTGATCTCAGTGTTGTGAGTTCAAACCCTATGTTGGGCTCTGAGCTGGGCATGAAGGCTACTTAAGAAGAAACCTACTTTGGGGTGCCTGGGTGGCTCAGTTGGTTGAGTACCCGACTTTGGCTTAGATCATGATCTCAAGGTTCATGAGTTGAAGCCCCACATGGGGCTTGCTGCTGTCGGCACTGAGCCTGCTTCTCAGGTCCTCTGTTCCCCTCTCCCCTGCTTCTCTCTTTCTCTCTCAAAAATAAACAAACATTTTTTAAAAAGCTTACTTTGGGGTGCCTGAGTGGCCCAGTAGGTTAAGTGTCCAACTTTTGGTTTCAACTCTTGCAGTGTTTCCAGTTTGAGCCCCACATTGGGCTCCGTGCTGACAGTGCAAAAACATGCTTGGGATTCTCATCTCCCTGTGTCTCTGTCCACCACCACCCCCCGCCCACACCCCCCTCTCCCCCCACTAATGCTGTCTCTGTCTTTCTCAAAATAAATAAATAAACTTAAAAAAAAAAAAAGCCTACTTGAAAAAAAAATAAAAACTCGTATGACGGCCAGAATAAAATTTGAAACACATCCATCTGGCCAGGTCACTCTCCTGTTCTTAATCCTTTGGTTCTGCAAAGGAAAAAGTTCAAATGCCTTCTTTGTCCCCATTTTTATTGCTAAGAAAACCAGGGCACCCAGGAAGGGAAACAGGGCATAGGGGGTTAAGGATGATGGATTGGGAACTCTGACTCAGGCCAAACCCAGGTTGTAAGTATGTATGCAAGAAGCAACAGAAGAACAAGGTTTATCTTGCCTGCACTTGGCTGTGCAAGAAAGCTCAGTTTGGAAAAGATAAAGGTGGGGCCTTCCCAGCACACCCCTAAAGCCTCACTCCCGTCCCAACTTACGCCTTCTTGATCTGGGCATCCTCTGAATTGCGAGTGATCTGAAGCACAGAGTAATAATCCTGACCCATGGCTGGCTTGCAAGGCAGTCAGTCCTTGTTTAATCCTGACTCCAGCAGGGCTGTTAGTCTGCATTCTTTGGTTGCTCCTGACAACCGCACAGGGGCACTCTGGGAGTTGTATTCCTTCCTGCCCAAGCAGACATCACCTCTGCCTCACAGAACAGCCAATCGAAGAACTGGAAAACGGTTGATCCTGTGACCCTGACAAAGGTCATTCAACTCAGAAACTCTCAAGAGTTTTTAAGAAAGTAGCAATTAGTTTCAATTAAAAGTTTTCAAAACAAATGCATTTGCTGATTTTTAAAAAATAAATTTTAAATTTTAGAATAGTTTTAGATTATCAAAAAAGTTGGGAAGACAGTATGGAATTCCCATATACCCATACCCAATTTCCTGTATTATTAATAGCTTACATGAGTATGGTATGTTTATCATAAATAATAATACATCAGGGTTTGTTTTTTTTTAATGTTCAATTTGGTGACATTTTATTTATCTATTATTAAATTTTTAATTACAGTATAGTTAACATACAATGTTATGTATACTAGTTTCAGGTGTACAATACAGTGATTCATCGATTCCATACATCCCCCAGTGCTCATCACAAGTACACTACTTAGTCCCCTTACCTATTTCACCCATCTACCTACCACCTCCCCTCAGATAACAATCAGTTTCTTCTCTATAGTTAAGAGTCTGTTATGGAGCCTGGGTGGCTCAGTTGGTTAAGTGTCTGACTTCAGCTCAGATCATGATCTCCTGGTTTGTGGGTTCAAGCACTGCATTTGGCTCTGTGCTGACATGACAACTTGGAGCCTGTTTTGGATTCTGTGATCTCTTCTGTCTCTGCCTCCTGCCGGCTCTATCTCAAAAATAAACATTAAAAAA